GAGGGAAGGTTTAAGTTGGACATCAGGAGGTGCTACTTCACGGTCAGGGCGGCTAGGGTCTGGAACCAGCTTCCAAGTGAGGTGGTGCAGGCTCCCACCCTGGGGGTTTTTAAGAGGAGGTTGGATGACCACCTTACTGGGGTCATTTGACCCCAGTGCTCTTCCTGCCATGGCAGGGGGTTGGACTAGATGATCTGCTCAGGTCCCTTCCGACCCTAGAAACTATGAACGGGTTTTAGCTAAAAGCATGCCACCACCACTTTTGGAGCACTGACACTTGCTGTGCTACTGAGGCATGTGACACGCAAGGCTGCCAGCACACATGTATTTATATGCTCGAGCAGACCTCCCCACATGTGTGTAAGTGCCCTTTTATAATCCCAGGGCAAAAGGCTTTCTCCCAGGATGAACAGAGAAAGACTTGGAGAGAACACTTGGCTGTTGTCACTTCCTGGAGATGCCTAAGATTTTAAATTTCTTCCCGAGATGCCTCTGCAGATTATCCGAACAGACACAAAGAATGAACCAGAGGGACCAGCTTTAGAGGGCTTAAACAACAGGACCACCCCTGAAGTGAGAGCTGGTGGGAGAACAGAGACATCTCAACTGTTTGCAAAGGCTCAGCTAGAGAAGAGTGGCCTGTATCCACTGGATACACACACAGACATTAATAACCTAACGTAGGCAGCGGATAATAGATGCAAAAGGGCAAGCACTTGCCTGATCTCAAGCAAATCCCAGTTTGCAGGCAGATATTTCACCCTGAATTTTCTTCCCCTCCGACAGCTCCAACTGCATTAAGCCTGACGGACTCCTGGAGTTCACCAAGAAGCTGGAGAGCCACCTGCTGCAGCGAGGCGAGCGGGCCAAATTCACCCACCTTCGCCTCTTCCAGAATTGGCTGGACCAGGATGTTGCAACAGCACAGGAGGCACTCCAGCGCCTCAGAGCAGTGTGCAGCGTGGTCAGCGACACATGGGACTCCTCCCAGGCCTTTGCCGATTACATCAGCGTGATGTGATGGGCAGGGCCTGCCAAGCAGCCTCCTACCTTGATTTCAAATTCCACAGGGACATTGCCCCCAGGGCTCCTTTTCCATTGTATTCCAGAGGGGAGGGAAGCATTAGGTGGGCTCAGATGACACTAGGCTGAGTCAAAAAGCAAGGGGATCTTGCTTGCATTGTGCAGAATTGACCATGTAACTCATGGTGCAGCTGGAGAAGCAGAAGTGTGATTAGGGGAGGGGAAGAAACTCAGCAGTAAAGAACTGATCAGAGCGGAGGGGACCTGAGGATTAGGGACAGAAATAAGGTGATTCTGCCAGATGTGTTTGAGTTGACCATTCAGTAATAGCTCAGAGCCTCAGACTCCTGCTGGAGGTTAATTAGCATCCCAACACACTTTCATTTCCTTGTAGTAGTTTGGAACATAACATCCCTCTGTCAAATTTGCAATTAAAAAAATAATCAAAGCCCCTTTCCTCAGCAGAATGAGATGGTCTTATAAATGCCCATTAGCAGAACAAAAAGCAGCCTCAGCATTGCTTAGAAACTTTTACCAACACCTGTGGCAGGAATTTCTCCTCCCTGAGTTTGTATGCATCCTGGCAAGTGTCATACACACACATTTTACAAAGAGGTTTTAAACAAAAGTGAGTTTTCTTTATCCTTCAGCAACTTTATTTTATAATAAAAACGCAGTTCAGTGGAATCTTTGCATTGCTACGGACTCTTTCAACTGTATGGTAAGGGAAAATCTCACTAAAAAGCCTGCTGCTGTGAATCAGATCAGGTGGATTTTTCCTCCTAAAAATATAATGAAGACCAATGTTTTCTGAAGTTACAATTAAACTGGGTGTAATCCAAGTTTAAAAAAAAAAAAAAAAATCAGAAGCTAAGGTGTCTTAAAGTGGATGCCCAGTTGACCAGCTGTTTGGGAAAGTTATAGTTTAAATGACTTCACAACCTGGACTGATCTTTGGTGGAGGAGATCTTATTTTCAGAATAACCTGTGAGACAGGTTTCATAATACAGCTGCACCTTATCAGCCAGTAGTTATGGCTTCTAGAGCACAGGCAGGGGGTCAAGCAGGTTTGGCCCCAGGCTGGATCTGGATCCACCTCTGGCCATGTCAGGGACCTGTAGGGGTTAATACAGCCATGACTGCTCCTCTGCTGCTAGAGCATTGAGCAATGTACCCCAGATCTCAGCAGTGAGCCCCAGCCCCACAGCCTTGTGGCATGGCACTGCAGACTGGATCTGACCCACAGGGGCATATGTTTGACACCCCAGATCTAATGCACATAGTAGTGGCAACTAGCTATTACCATCAATCCGAAGAGGGCACTTTGCTGCCTGCAGTGGGGCTCTCCTGTATAAAAGGCACCCATGCCAACTGTGTGGTACCAGCATCCTGCTAGCATAGAGGCAGGATCCGATGCTGTTCAAATGTCCTGAGTGAATGAAGTGCACCATAGCCAAGTCAAAGAGCAGTGCCACAAATACTGCCAGGTGCTTCCCGCTGCTCCAGGCAGGCTAGAAAGCTCTTCCTGCTCAGAAACCAGACCACTGTGGTCCTATTATAGATCCAGCATATGCTGCTGTGGGGCTCTCTCAGAAAGCTGCTGAAATGGGTTTGACTTCCATAGAAGCCTTCCCTCCTCCCTAGGGTAGGCGGCCTGCTAAAGAATCCCTCGCTGCTCCTCGTGGGAATGGTGGTGGAACGTGAAGGTGACGGCAGCGTCCCAGGCAGCCTTCAGCACCGAGTCCTGGAGCCCGCGCTTGTCAGCGCAGTGGTTCCACTGGGAGAGGTCAGACGTGCAGTCGGATCCCTCCGGAGGGGACCTTACCTGGTGGCCATTCACGCAGCGCTGGCACTTGATCCTGCAACAGCAAGGGCATTATGTTGGCAAGGGTCGGAGGCTCGCTCTAGACCTCCTGTGCTGGGCACAGACTGCCTGGTTCAGATCCGTGCTAGGGGAGCTGCAACGGAGATGACGTAAGCCCCCAGAGAGCAGCCTGGCAGCCTTGGGTTAGCTTGCTGCACACCAAGCACCATCAGTCCCGTTTGCAAGGGACTGTGAACGTGTAACGGGTCATTTGTGCGATTCTTCACATGCCCGAAAACCTCTCAGCTCTGCAGCATTCACACATTTCGTGAATGCCTGACCCGCATTCAAAGCGCAGCAGAGGAGAGAATCAATACAGAACTAGCAGTGGCTCCAGCAGTCCCAAAAAACATTTCATTTCCCACATAAATAGCACTGCTGGGGAAGCCAAAAGGCTTCTGCCCATGCCCTAAGCAGCTGTGATTTGCCAAATCAAAGCCCATCATAATGTGGGCACATCAGTCAAAAACCATTGCTATTAGAAAACTTTTCCCTTCCAGGAGCCTTTTTCTTCCCTTGCACAGAAGCTAAGCCCATCATTAACTGTGAGGATCTACTGTCCTGTCCTCTGTTTTGGGCAGCTGATGCCACTGACTTTAAAACACAGAAGCTCAGACTCAAGTCACAGCAGGATCCCATATAAAACTGCTCTGAGCCCTGTACAAAATTAAGTTTCTTTTCTTCCTAGGAGAACTTTTATAATCTGAATTCTGTGCAGCCTGATAAAGGGTATTTGGACCCGAAAGCTTGCAAAGAAAGGATTTTTTTTTGTTGCTACTATTTAGTTGGTCTAATAAAAGATATTGCCTCTAGCCCAAGAGTTTTGTTTGTCTCTGTTTCTTACACCAACCCGGCTACAACATATATCCCTGAAATATGTTCTGAGCCTGGCATTATGGCACCGAACAAAAATGCCTTTTAGCCAGGAAGCTCTCAAGGCCACATGTCATAGGGGCGAGCCACCATTCAGAGGTCAAGCAGGAAATAATCCTCCAGCGAGGGAGTTGTGTGGACCAGACGGCCCGACAGAGAAGGGCACATTCAGCTATTCCCCTCAAGATCTTACCCTGAATCCTCCCTGAGGGAGTTACCGCTTGCTGCAAGCGGACAGGCCTATGGAGATGGGTGTCCAAGAATAATCACCTGGGACAGAAGAGCTTTTGAAATCAGAAGGTAGCTAGGAAGTGTTAATCTCTCTGTTACTAGACATGGATTGATTTGCCCATCCACCTACAGACATGAGACCCTTCTACTCTAATCACTCCTTCAACCCAAGGGAATTTTGAATCAGCTGATCCATAGTTACATGAGCCCAAATGGCTTTGCAAGCAGCATTCAGCAACCAGGAGGGCTGGCGACTTGACTTGCAGCCTCTGGGCTCAACAGCTGCTGCTTAGAGCCCAGCCACTAGCTAACCCAGCCCCTCGCGGCGGTTCCAGCCGTACTTGTCGTGGGTATCACTGGCTGTGGTCTCGCTGAGTGTGAACAGCTCTCTGAGCTCCCCCAGCGAGAAGTGCCTCTCCACATCCTGCTCCTCGTCCACCACGCAGCTGCTGAGTGCTTTCTTGTGGGTCTGCCGCTGGAAGATCTTCTCTTCTATCGTCCCCGTCTACGAGAGAACAGATGAGAGAATGGGAACAAAGCCTGAATACCAGCACGGACACTCATCTTTATGAAGAGCTCCACAGGGATCTGATGGTTTCTTCTACCACCTGCTGCCCGGAGTCACTGAACGCTTGGCTGGGCAGACACGAGAGGCATCACTAACACCACTCCATGCCACACCCTTGGCCAGCTCCCATCTCTGCATGGACCCCACTCTATCTGCTTATGGCAAGATACAGGAGGGCTGCCAGACAAGGCAGGAGTAGCAAGGCAGCCAAATTCCAACCGCAGACTCACCCTGTGGCTACAACAGCCTGATAATTATTGCGAGCGATTTCCCCATGCCGAGCTTGGCCTGGAAACACTATGGTGCCAGCGCGAACACCAACATGAACGCTGCACCATGAGACACGGGCATGGGAGTCACCTGTTCTCATTGCCCTGGTAGTTTACAGCCCCATGGGCTGCAGCATCACCCATTGCACGGACACCCTCAAGCAGACACACATGGGGGACTTCCAGGAGCGCAGCTGGTCCCCGAGGATGAAGAATCCTCTCTCGGGGCCTGCCACAAATTCTCCCAGCTTCCAGACCCATTCGCCACCAGACAGATCTTTACAAAGCTCTGTGGCCTCTACCATCCAGCATCTGATGCTGAGCTTCTCATCCCTAAAGCTTCAGTCACTTCTCTGCCCCGAGACCCAGGAGCAACTCCACTGAACCCAGTAGTGACTCCACTCTTACTGGCTTCACCAGCTTGGAAGCTCCCACACCGTCCCTGCTGCCCAGCTACAAAATGTACTTCAGGATCCTGCAGCCTGGGAGTAGGCAGACTTACTGAAAGCAGCCTGTAGATATAGCAGGTCTTCTTTTGGCCATCCCTCCAGACCCGAGCCATGGCTTGCTCATCATTGGCTGGATTCCAGTCTGGGTCGAACATGACGAGTCTGTTTGCTCCAATCAGATTTAAGCCGCAGCCGCCAGCTTTGCTGCTGAGCATGAAGATGAACTCGGGGCTCTGCAGGTCGAGAGACACTCAGATTAAATAAAACTTGCCGCTTCCCAATCATTTGCATCTCCCACAAGAAGGGTGTGGGGTCAGGGAAGCTCTACTTACAGAGGGGCTGTTAAACCGCTCCACAATCTTCGCTCTCTTTTTAATAGACATCGTGCCATCCAGTCGGACGTATAAATACCTGGGACAATATACAATATTTCATGGGTTCACAACACCACCTCCATCTAAGAGGCCTTAAAAAGGGAAGGAAAAACTAAGAGGGACAACAGCAGCTCCAGTGAACGGCCTTGTGACGGGAGGCCAGGCTTGGAAACTACACAGAGGAGCAGAGCCTCCCCCTGGAAGCCAAGACCAAGCGGGTCACATCAGCTTCAGAGGGAGGCTCCTGAACTACAATTTAAAACAAGAGGCTCTGCAAGACATCTTGACAGGTAATTCAACATATGGATCTAAAAGGTGGCTCTCAAGGTTTGTAGACTCGTGGCATCGCTTGGAAAATGCCAGCTTTCAATTTTCATTTGTTGACTAGAGAAGCACGAGAGCAATTCTGTTGCTGCAAAGACACTGGACTGCAACAGGATGTTTCTAACACTCTGAATTCCCACTAGAAAACTCTGGGTTTATCTTGTGAATCATGTTTGCATACCTACCTGTGCTAGTGTTGCATGGCACCTCTAACACCCTGGGAAGGGTCTTGAGGCACCCAAGTGTACCCCAACACCCTGATTGAGAATCATTAGTTCAGACTGTATATACAAGAGCTTCATAAAGCAAGCCTAGAGGCAAACCTCCTACTCCGGCAGAGCTTCTCAAACAGGTCCAGCGTTTGGGTGTAATTGGAGACTAGCACGACCTTGTCATTGCTGGTGCTTCTAGTGACTGCCAGGATGTAATCCAGAACCACCATCTTCCCTGGGGAAAAATATTTGCCTGTCATTAAACGTACCAGGGAGGGAGGCAGCAGGGTACAACACACCGGGCACAGGACTGCGAGCCAAGTGCCTGGGTTTTGTCCTCGGGTCAGTGAAAGCAAGCCACATTTTCTGTGCCTCGCTTTCTCCATAAATTGTAGAAAATGGGGGGGACCTCAGGAGGTCACATCTAGTCCAACCCCCTGCTCAACGTGGGACCAGCCCCAACTACATCATCCCAGACAAGGCTTTGTCTACCTGGGTCTTCAAAACCTCCAAGGATGGAGACTCCACTGCCTCTCTGGGTAACCTGTTCCAGTGCTTTACTGCCCTCCTGGTGAGAACATTTTTCCTAATATCCAACCTCAACTTCCCTTGCTGCAACTTGAGCCCATTGCTCCTTGTTCTGTCATCTGCCACCACTGAAAACAGTCCAGCTCCATCCTCTTTGCAACCCCCTGCAGGGAGCTGAAAACTTAAATCCCCACTCAGCTTTCTCTTCTCCAGACTAAATCAGCCCAGTTCCCTCAGCCTCTCTTCACAAGTCATGTTCCCCAGCCCCACAACCATCTTCATTGCCCTCCACTGGACTGTCTCCAATTTGTCCACATCCTTTCTGTAGTAGGGGATCTGTGTAATGGAGCCAACAGTAACCCACATTTGAGATCTAGAGTAGCGATGGGATTAGAGAAGGACAAGATGCACCTCCTCTCTTTGGAGAAGCCCTGAAGCATCGCTCAACACAGCCCCGTGCCCCCTTCCAGTGGAAATCGCGTTGCTGCGCAGGTACCTGAGAGCTGGGGCTCCAGTGACTTGGTGCTGTAGCCAGCAGGGAACAAGTCCATCGCTCCAACAAAGCCCTCCTCCTCCTCCACACACTTCTCATAGATCAGGGCAGGGTCTGAAGAATAAAAACCAGGCTTGGAAACCACCACAGCTGCCTGGGCAGGGACAGGTCTCCCTCTCAGACAGCAGCAGCACGGTTGCTATATCCTCACAGTACAGTTGCATCTCGGGTGTGTATGAAGCATAATTTGCTTCACTCAGTGACAGGTCCTCAGGGAGGAGGGTCCTGTGACTGCCGCAAGCTGCAGGAAACCTCTGCAGAGGCCCAGGGTTGGCGGTGAACAGGTCCAAGGCTCTAGTCCCCACCTCCAGAAGTGTGGCCGAGTTGCACTGCAACAGTGTCACTGGTGTTTAGCCCATGGGACTAGATGTGACCTCTGCAGGTCACATCATATTATGAGCTCTTGCAGAGTTCAAGGGAACACCGCGTGACTTTCCAGCAATGCAGATAATGCAACAGCCATAATGGCGTTGTCCTGCCCAGCCCCAACTCACGGTTGCAGAGCTTCTTCAAGGAGGTGATGGAGGAGAGGGAGGAGACGCTGATCTTCCCACCCTTCAGCTCTTCCACTGGCTTCGCTTGCTTCAGGAAGTTCTTGTACAGCTCGGCCTGGAGGGGCGTCAGCCTGGGACACGAGGACATAAGTTGAGCCTGCTACACATAAGCCATGACTCCAACACCATCTCCCTCCTCCACCTGCACTTCAGGTCAAGATGTGCTCCTAACTGGTGGGATCTTTCCCACAGAGACTGGGTAATGAGGGGGACCTTGACATCCGAGGCCCTGAAGTCACCACAGCGTTGCCCTTCTCCCCGCGGGGGACAAGGGGCGTGCATACCTGCAGCACACCACCTGCTCGATCTTCACGGGCAGATACCTGGAGAGAATGTCCGACGTTCTCCTGATTAAACATCTGCAAAGGAGATGGAGATGAGACGCATGAAAACCAGAGCTCACCCCCAGCTTTTCAGTGTGATCCCCATGGAGATCGTGAAGAAGAGGTCTAGGGATTTAGGAAGAGTTGTCAACCACAAAACAGTGCCTAGTAAGAGGATGGTGATCAACTATTTTGTGTGTCCACAAGTGCCGGGACAAAACGGGCTGGTTTCCAGCGTCTTAGGAAGATATTTGATGTTAGATCTCAGGAAGGATGGGGAGAAGAGCTCTAGGGGTGGATTAGCACTGGAACAGAGTGCCCAAAGAGGCTTTGGCATCTCTCCGTCACAGGAAGCCTTAAGAGCAGGTTAGGCTAAGTTTGGAGCCCGCCCCGAGCAGAGGATGGACTAGATGCGAGGGCCCCGCTGAGCCTGCTGCATGAGTCCCTAAGGGCATAAGAAGCTGCCGCTTCCATCCACCACAGGGGTCCTGGTTTTGGACCCTGCGCTGAGGCAGGAGCAGGTCACGCTTGGCCAAGGGGTGTGGAGGGGTCACGAGAAGGGTCCTGTCAGAGACTCCCAATTGCTGCCCTGAACTCCCCGACGCCACATGGATCCCAATGACTCACCTGCTCCTCATGGCCTTTCCCTCACAAGTGCATTGCAAGGGCCAGCTGGGCAAGAGTTTATGGCTGGGCAGCCCAAAGCCGCGCACACAGTCTGCAAGGGCTTAACCTGTAGCCCCTGGGCTCCCATCCAGCTGCCACTCCCCCCCACCCAATCTCTCTGGCTCTGGCAGGAGCTGGGGTCTCTGGGCTTTCCCTCCAGCATCTCCCCAGATGGATTTTGGGGGCCATCGATGCATACAAAAATCCTAAAGCAATGGGGCTGGAAGGGATCTGTAGAGGCCACATCTAGTCCAACCCCCTGCCTTGGATCAGCCCCATCCAAACCCTCCTACATGCAGTGGAGGCCACTCAGACACGTGACAAGGAGCAAGGGGCTGTAGGGAGCTGCCCACAGCCACCGTGCAGGTTGTGGGGGGCACCGGGTCACACTACTGCAGCCCGTGGCTGTGTGGCCGGCTTCCAAGAGAAACCACAGCCTTCAAAACCATGGGGGTAAAAGAGGGAGGGGTGCCAGCAGGGGACCACACACCTGTTCACGATGCTGATTAGCTCCTTCAGCCGCTCTTCCCCTTTATGTCTCTCCGCCTCGCTGGCGGCAGCATCCCTGCCTTTCAGGATGGGGATTTCGAAATGCCTCTTGAACTCTTGTGCCGTCCCTAGGAGGAACAGAGGGAAAGCAATGGCAATTTCAGCCCTTCTTAGTCTCCTCTGCTTCAGTGGGGAATACACAGCCTCCTTCCCCACCCTACACCTTGCCAGGTCTCTAGGTGCCTGCTCCAGTGCATGACCCCTGCCTCACAAACAGACCATTCCTCCCCATCTCCAACCTAAAGTTTCCCTTGCTGCAGCTTGAGGCTATTGCTCCTAATCTTGTCCCCTGCGGCCACAGAGAAAAGCCCACCTCCATCCTCTCTTTCATCACCCTTCAGGGATCTGAAGATTGATCAAATCCCCCCTCAATCTTCTCTTCTCCAGACTAAGTAACTCCAGTTCTTTCAGCCTGTCCTCATCAGTCTTGCCTCCCAGGCCCCTAATCTATTGTTGCTCTGTGCCAGACTTGCACCAAATTGTCCACATCCTTACTGAAGTGCGGGGCCCAAAACTGGACACAGGGCTCCAGGGGCGGCCTCATCAATGCTGAATTGGGTAGAAGAATCACTTCCCTTGATTTGCAAGTGATTGCAGTTTCTGCTGTGCATCTCACCAGCTTGTAGCAACTGAACACAGCAAGCAAATGCGAGTGACAGAAAATGACTGAATGTTGGTACATTTTCCTCTCCAAGGGGCCTGCAGTCATAATTACCCTCGCCTCCTTGGCATATTAGCCCCATTTTGTACAGGGAAAGAGAAGTGCAGAGAGGTGCCCGAGGCACAGATAGATCAATACAGCCAAGCCACCTTCCTGGAAGAGCGTCAAACTGAACTGAAACTCATAGGGAGAACGTGACGGGGATATAAAACACCCAATGGCACTTGGGTGGCAGAGAAGCTGTGCAGAAGCCAACGATACCCAGATACTGCTCTCGCAGTCAGGATGTGATGACTGGTGTCTGGTCAGAGAGACTTCCGTGTAGGGACTATTTCAATGACAGGCTGGTTGGGTTTACCCCAAAAAGGCCAGAGCCCTCGCAAACAGCAAGATGAAGGACCAACTCAGGGGTTGGTCTATTTTTAAATCCCGAAGAGAAGGGTGAAAACTTTGGCTCTTCCTGCCAGCAAGTCTGAAGACCAATTTGAACTCACAGAGGCAGCAGAGACTGCAAAGCACCGACAGATCAGCCCCATTCCTTCTCTCCGCACCAGGGCTTATCTGTGTGCACAAGCTGAAGCCCAGAGGTGAAATATTAAGGGCTTACAAATTACTGAATGGCGAAGAAAAAGTGCAGAGGGATTTATTATCAACTGTCTCTCACCAGATAAGAACAAGGGCTCACAACGTGAGACTACGAGATAGGAAGTTTAACACATGTTCTTTTTCACCCAGCTTGTCATTAAAGTGTGGGAATCATTGCCACCAGACATGGCGGAATCAGAGAAAATGAGGCTAGGAAGGGACCCCAGGAGGTCACATCTAGTCCAAGCAAGACCAGCCCCAACTACATCATCCCAGGCGAGGCTTTGTTGAGCTGGACCTTAAAACCCTCCAGGGATGAAGAGTCCACAAGCTCTCTGGGTAACCTGTTCCAGTGCTTCACCACCTTCCTAGTGAGAAAGTTTTTCCTAATATCCAACCTCAACTTCCCTTGCTTCAGCTTGAGCCCATTGCTTCTTGTCCTGTCATCTGCCCCCACTGAGAACAGTCCAGCTTCAGCCTCTTTGCAGCCCCCCGGCAGGGAGTTCAAGGCTGCTATTCAATCCCCCCTTGGTCTTCTCTTCTCCAGAATAAAATCAGCCCAGTTCCCTCAGCCTTTCCTCACCAGTCCTGTCCCCCAGCCCCCAAACCATTTTCATTACCCCCCACCGGACTCTCTCCAATGTGTCCACATCCCTTCTGCAGTGGGGGGCTCAAAACTGGACCCAGGACTCTAGATGTGGCCTCCCCAGTGCTGAAGAGGGGAAGAATCACTGCCCTCGATCTGCTGGCAATGCTCCTCCCAATGCAGCCCAGGATGCCATTAGCCTTTTTGGCAACAAGGACACACTGCCGGCTCCTGTTCAGGGTATCATCCACTGTCACCCCCAGGTCCTTTTCTGCAGACCTGCTAGCTTTGGTCCCCAGCCTATAGTGGAAGCTGATGGTTTAACCAAATGCACAAAGGGACAGGACGCATTCTTGGAGAAAACAGGCATCAGTCACTATTGAGCATGTGAGTTAATATTTACAGCTCCCCAACTCCTGGACCATCAATGCTGGATGCCGCAAGAGAGAGAGGAACAAGGGAAAAGTCCTGCTCAGACCCAGTCACTCTCCCTTCCAGCCTCCGCTCTCTGCCCACATGACACAGGAGACTGGGCAAGACAGACCTCGAGGCTGACCCAGTAAATAGCAATTCTTACATTCTTAAGGTCTGAACTGGCAAATAGCAGCTGCAGGAGGTATTTGATTCCCCAGTGAGGGGGGAAATTAAAGCCCCACAAACCCTCCCTCTAGTTAAAAGGCCATCATCCTTTCCCCATCCAGGAAGTGTTGTGGTTAAACTGAGATTCACCGCCCCCTCCCTGCAAATCAGGACCATCACTGTGACATGCAAAGTAAGGATGGGCCACCGGCTGAAACACTGGTCTAGGATTCAGGAGACTGGCCTTCCACATCTGTAAAACAGAAGGGAGCATCCTTCTTCCTGCCTTGCGTGTTTGGAACACAAAGTCCTGTCTCCAACTACGAATACATACAGCGCCTAGCACGGCGAGGATCTCTTCTTGTTTATTTGCATTACAGGTGATCCTAAAATCCCCCGCTAAGAAACTCTGTAGCATGGGTCCCTCACTCAATGCTTCTAGCTCTTCCAACAGCAGAAGCTGGGGGGTAGGAGCCCTGCAAGCTACCTCCTCCATGCAAGCCACCTTTGTGCTCCTTACCGAGGATTCCCGAGTTGACAAAGTGCACCAGGCTGAAATACTCCAGCAGGTCGTTCTGAATGGGGGTCCCCGAGATGAGGACACGCCGGGGGGTGTTCAGGCTGTTGAGGGCCTGGTAGGTTTGGTTCTCAGAGTTCTTTAGCCTGTGACCCTAAGGAAGAAAAAGAGCAAGATGTGAATCCAATGATGCTGGGAGATATGGCACCGGAAAGATCACAACCAGGCGGGACTCACTACAGCATCAATGCCTGGGGATGGAGTCTGCATTTGGACCAATGCAGAGAGGGACCCTACCTCTCTGATAACGTGGCTTGAACCGAGGCTGTCCAATGTCTGAGCAGATGGGGCTGTACATCACATGGACTCACTGGTACTCCTCTGTGATGCCCTTCCCACACCTGCATGGACTCCCTAGTTCCTGCCACCATGCTCTGAGTGGTGGGCGAAGGAGGCAGAAGCCAGAGGAGAGAGGGGGAACCCGGAGACCCCAGATGCAGCAGTGATTAGAAGGGAGAAGCTGCAAGCTTGACATCCCCAACCTAAACAAAGCAATCTCCTTGCATAAAAGTGGAGACATCCTAGAAGCAACAGAGAAGGCAAAAACTTGTCTCAAGGGCTTCAAGACCCCTGGGTGAAAGGGGGCAAAGCAGATTATTAGGGTGCCCAGATCCCACAATGAGGGGCCCAATGTAAGTGCATAACGGGGAAAGGTGCCTCTCCCTGTTTCCAGCCCATCTGTGCTCTCGCCAATATAAATTCACGCCACCAGATGCCGCTGGTGTGGAATAAAACTCCTCTAGACTAGAGGCGGCAGAGGGAACTTTATGCCGTGTTTGGGGAGGGAAGAACTGTGCCCTTAACTCTTCCAACCCCTGCGAGAGCCCTGCACAGGGGCTTTGCTTGCTTGCTTGCTTGCTTCTTCATCAGAAGAAAGGAGTCGCAGCAGCGTTTGGAAAAGAGTCCCTGTTCCTAGATGCTAGTGAATGAGAAGGATTGAGGAAAAGGTTTGGAAGTAACAGCACTTGCTCATGCAGAGGAAGTTACTCTGGCCCAGCCCTGGCAAAGACAATCCAGCGGCTGCCAAGAGGGGAAACCAGAGTACAAAGGCACTAGAGATGGGATCACCTACTCTGCCAGTTCCCATGTTCTCCCCACCCAGCCCCAGCCCCCGCCCCCG